GGTGCCCGTGAGGTCTGGGGGTCTCCATTAGTCTCTCAGCAAACTTATGATGAGCACCTACAAGGTGCAAGGTTGGAGGTGGGTGTCAAAGAACTCCTGCCCTGCTGGCCTGTATGTGCAGCCCCCCACCCGGCACACCACACACTCACACACACACACACACACACACACACACACACACACACTCATATATTCACAGGTGCTCTCTGCACACCTAACATACACACGAAACATACACTGACACCTGCACACACACACACCAAAGTGCACACACATGAGGTCCCACATTTACACGTGTGTATGCTGGGAGGGGCATTTCGGTGACGAAGGGAGCTCTGTGGCGAGTCCTCAATTTAAACTTCAGACTCTCAGTCAAGTCCATGGCAGTGTCCCTTCTCACTGCCCCATCGGCCCAAACCCCCATCCTCATAACGCAGATGCTCAGGGACAGGGAACCTGTGACCACATTGGCGTCCACTGACAGCAGAGCATATATATTTATTCTTATTTTTAATCACAATATTGTTGTGATGTAATTCAGATATCATAACATTTCCCCGTTTAAAGCGCCCGCTTCAGTGTTTTCAGTATAGAATTGCCCGACCATCATTAGTATCTAATGCCTGAGCGTCTTCATCGCCCCCACAGTACATGTTGCATCTGCCTTCTTTCACTTCACGTACTGTCTTCAAGTTTCATCCGTACAGGAGCATGAACCAATACTTCCTTCCTTTAAGTGGCTGAGAATAGCCCATTGTTTGGCTAACCCTCACTTTGTCTAGCCATTCATCAGTTGACGGGCATTTGGGTTATTTCCTTTTTTTTTTTTTTTTACTATTATGAATAATGCTGCTATGAACGTTCATGAACATGTTTCCGTGTGGACATGTCTTTTCAATCACTTTGGGTATACACCTAGGAGTGGAATTTGAGTCATGTGGCAACTATGTTTGAGGAACTGCCGTACTGTTTTGCAAAGTGGCTGCATAATTTTACAACCCTAGGGTCCATGTGTGCGGCTTCCAATTTCCCCATTTCCTCGGCAACACTTGGTATTATCTGTCTTTTGCAACTTAGCCATCCTAGTGGACATGAAGTGGTATCTCATTGTGGTTTTGATTTGCATTTTCTGGATGCCTAAGATGAATGTTGAGCATCTTTTCATAAGGTGTTATTGGCTGTTTGTACATCTTCTTTGGAGAAATATCTATTCAGATCCTTTGCGCATTTTTAAATTAGATCGTTTGTCTTTATTGTTGAGTTGTAAGAATTCCTTACCTCGTCTGGATACAAGTCCCTTCTACAATATATGATTTAAAAACATTTTCTCTCATTCTATGGATTGTCTTTTCATGTTGATGGTATCCATTGAAGCACAAACGTTAATTTTTATGAATCCAATTTAGCTATTTTTTCTTTGGTTATTATGCTTTAGGCATCATATCGAAAGAAAGGAAGAAAGGAAGAAAGAAAGAAAGAAAGAAAGAAAGAAAGAAAGAAAGAAAGAAAGAAAGAAAGAAAGAAAGAAAGACATTACCTACCTAATCCAAAGTTATAAAGATTTATACCTAAGTTTTTTGTAAGAAGTTTGTAGTTTTTGCTCTATTATTTAGATTTATTATCCATTTTTAATTAATGTTTGTATATAAGGATCCTATTTCATTCTTTTGCATAAGGATATTTATTTGTCCTGATACAATTTGTTGAAAAAATGATTCTTCCCCCATTGAATTGTCTCCTCGCCCTTGCCAAAAATCAATTGCCCATAAAGGAGAAGTATTGCCCTGACCGGTTTGGCTCAGTGGATAGAGCATCGGTCTGCGGACTCGAGGGTCGCAGGTTTGATTCCAGTCAAGGGCATGTACCTTGGTTGTGGGCACATCCCCAGTGGGGAATGTGCAGGAGGCAGCTGATCGATGTTTCTCTCTCATCCATGTTTCTAACTCTCTATCCCTCTCCCTTCCTCTCTGTAAAAAATCAATAAAATATATTTTTTAAAAAAGGAGAAGTGTTAGTTCTGGACCCCTTTCTATTCCATTGATCCATTTGTCTGCCCTTATGCCAGTACCACCCTGTCTTGACTACTGTAACTTTGGAGTCAGCTTTGAAATCCGTAGGTGTGAGCCGCACAACCGCACTCTTGGTTGAGGTTGTTGGACTCTTCTAACAGGCATGTCTCGCACCTCGAGTGGATGTTTGGTGGCTGGATTTCAGGCATGGTGTGACCGGAGGCCCAGTAGCACCATCAAGGACCTGGCCTTCCCACGCTCCCCTGCCTGCCACCTTCAATACTGGCTTTATCCTAGCTCATGACTCGCTTTCCTCACTTGAGGTAGGTTCAGTGGAGACATTCAAACAGGATCCTTCGCTTCTCTGGAACCCAAAGAGGCAAGTCCCTTCCGCAGTGTTGTCCCATAGCATCAGTCAGCGGTGAGCAAGCCTGCATCCTAGTCGAGAAGCACTTCTTTTAAGAACGTCACGGGCAGTAGCAGGGCCCCTCTGTGGCATCGCTCAGAGGCACCATCCATGTTGAAGGCCACATACCTGGCACCCCCTGGGGCTTAACTCCTTCCGGTTGCAAAATGAGTGACGTGATTTTGAAGAAGGGTACGTTTGTCTAAATAGTTACAGTGTATTCATTTCACCTTCCCCTAAAAGAGTAATGTCAAGGGGTCCCCATGGTCTCCTGTACTAATCACCCAACCTAGTTTGAGAGACACCTGCGTGTGCTCACATTGTGCTGGGTAAAGAGCTGGGGGTGGGGGGAGATAAAGGGCTACCTGGTCCCCAAGAACTGAATGCCTCTCAGGGAGGGAGGCGAGGGCAGCCAGGGTGTGTTTTATGGAGGAAGCAGTGGTAAGAGGCAGGCAACCACTTCAAAAAGCCACACAAGATCTGGACTCTGAGTCCTCCAGCTCGGCCACCACTGGGCTGTGCAGCTTCAGGCCAGTCACTTAACCTCTCTGAACCTAGGTTTGCTCATTCACCAGTCGTCACTGATACCACACCCTTGCTAGGGCTCTTGTGAAAGCTAACGCAGATGTAGGCAGATTTTAATGGTGCTTTGGTCCCTGGGGAATGGTGTCCAGAATAAAGAATGAGAGGTTTGTTTTTCCTCCTAGAAATTTATATTGGACAAAATGGAGACCGTGAAATTTATCTTACTGCTCATGGAACCCAGTGTGTGCTGGACAGGCGGTAGACACAAGGACCAGGGATTCAGAAGTCACCCCAGACCCTTCAGGAAATGTCCGACGAGGCAAGATATAATCCCAAGGGCCCCCGTTCCCACCACCGAGCCTTCAGAGTGCTCCTGCCTGCGCTGACCCGCCGATGGCCACCGGTCCGGCCAGCATCATGACCATCTCCTGACCTGCTTGGCCTCCTTTTCTCACCACCCACGCCCTTGGGTGGGTGGGAGCCAGCCTGGGGCACTGAGCGAATGGGTGGGGTCCTGGGGCCAGCTGGGATGGGGGTGCTGTTCTCTATGATGGGGGGTTGACAGGGATCAAGATGAGGTCTGCCTGGGACCATGGGGAAGAGAGGGGGGTTCCTGAGTCAGAGGCAGCAGCCAGGTGGGAAGTCCCAGGCTGGAGACCAGCAGCCAGGAGCCAGGACTGCCTTTGTGTCACTGGTGGGTTCACCTGAGACCGCGGAGCTCTGCCTGGCTGTCGGGATGCCTGAGTCACAGAAACTCTTGTAAAGAGCCACCCAGGGCTGTAGGATGCAGGAGAGCCTGTCTTGCACGCAGCAGACTGGGGAGCGCAGTAGACTGGGGTACTGAAGGGCGGGGGGGGGCATTTCATTACTGGCCCCAGAATCTGAATTCCAAGTCAGTGCCTTCTGCCCACGCTGAGGGCCCCGGAGAGGCCAGAAAGGAGTGCTATTCTTCGGGAGGCCTTGGCACGGCCACGCCCCTCTCCGCTGGTTTTCCCACCTGTAATATTGGGCGAGAGGGTCTCAGGGAGACCCCTCCCCAGGTTCACATTCTAGGACAAGGCTGGAAAAGCTTGGTCTGCACGGAGGACGCTCATTTGGTTTTATTGTGTCGCTGGGGTCAACTCATCCCAGCAACCAGCGCGGCTGTGAAAAGAATTCACCGCTGGAGGTCTGCCTGCCGGTGAGAACTGGTGTAGGTAACAGTTGAACAGTTGAAAGTTAAGAGCAGCAAACGAACTGTCAAAGGGGCGTTTCAGAAAAGATGCTGCTGCTTGGAGAAATACAAAGGCGGAGGTCTGCTGTATTCCAGGTGCTGCTGGGAGAGGGGGATGGG